ATTCTCTTATAACCCCATTAAATCTGACAAGTCGTTCACAGTCGATGGTTTCGGATGCTGGAAAAATGCTATCAGCAAATTTAATAAGCACCAATCGACTCTTTCACACAAGCAGGCTTGTGAGACTTGGTCAAATGCAAGAAGAAATCGTTTGAATGATGAAAGTGTTCTGAATCAAATTGATCGTCGGTCTGACAAGCAGTGTGAAGAGAATCGTCTCTATTTGGTAGAAATCATCCGAACTCCGTTATGATCGATGAGACGTGGGTCATCTCGAGACACGAGCAAGTCTCGTTGGTCATTCGCTACACTGACGATCTATTCAATGTGTTCGAACGATTTATTGGATTTGAACGAACGGTTAGCACGTCTGGTGAAAGTTTATTCAATCTATTGATTTCATGGGTCAAACAGCTTGGTTTGAATGTGCGGAATATCGTTGGACAATGTTACAACGGGGCAAGCTCGATGCGTGGTGAATACAAGGGCGTTGCAGCCCGATTGAAGCAGTTGTCATCGAAAGGTATATATTCATCTCAGAACTAAAGCATCGGGTTCAGGAAAGTGTTCGGTCGAGTCTGTGTCTTCATAGGCTGGAAGTGAAAGTATTCGGGTTAATCATCATGACCTCCCTTGGGACTTCTCAATGTACATACGAAACTCTTGACATTTTGCTGACATGCGTAGTGTTTCTCTTGTTGTGTCACTTAGTGGAGAAGATCTAAAGTGACATGAAAGCGAAATAATGTGCTGTCAATCCAAAGATATAGCATGATTTTTGTTTCACTTCTTTTGGCATCGTCGGATAGAGCTCACCGACTTAGATAGGAAAAAGCCGATTTTTCCTTTTTTTAAGATTTTTCAACGTCATTTTTGCAAGAAAAAATTGAAAAATATTGACTTTTTGAACTGCAAGAAAAAACTGAAATTTTCACGTAGGTGAAGTCAGCACCAGATTCGAGTATTTCCAACCCGGATTCGTTCAGGTAGGTGTTACAGCCCCGTTCAATGGTGTTCCAAGTAGAACTCGACGAGCTCTATCGAATGGTGTTCTTACAATTGCTCTAACCCCATCCTTCGCTCCAAAATCGCCCAAATACCGATGCTACCTCATGGCATACGGATCATCCAGGGAGTATTTCCAGTCCGGATTCGCTGAGGTAGGTGTTCCAGTTCCGTTCAATGGTGTTCCAAGTAGAACTCGACGAGCTCTATCGAATGGTACCCTTACGATTGCTCTAGCTCTCACCCTCCACCCAAAATCCGGGACGGGTCGATTCCGCTTAATTGCCTATTGGGTAATATGAGTATGTGTTGACCGTTCATTTGACTCAGCACTGCCTGTGTGTTGCCTGACTGAAGGTTTTCGGTGCACGCTGTCATGAAGCTCATTCAGTTACAGTGCTACGAGTGAAGAAGCGTCAGCTTGCTATTTTCTGCTCTACGTAGTATTGAAAACGATTTCTATAGGGGCGGTTGTCTTTGCAACGGAGAAGTAATCTCGGAAGCATCGCGTTTCATTCGTGGCCCTCCACTATTCCTTGTCGCCGGCATTGTTCATCGCAGTGTGAATGAGCCGGCCAATGATGGAATACGGCAGATCGATCTCAACTTCCATGACATCCAACGTGTAATCAGAGTTGGGTCATCAACGTGAGTAGTTCTGACTTGAGTTATGCGTTGCGCATCAAGCAAGGAATAACTTCGGTTAGTTGAAACACAGGATAAGAAAAAGCAGTGGTGTGGTGCAGTTACTATCTCACGTGTAGTGGAATACCAAAAAGGACATCAACTGCCTGTACTATGACTTACCACGGACACAATCTCTGAAAATCATCAGTTTTGAATCTTGCATGATTGAGCCACTCCCTATCTCGTAGTAGCTAACCTCTACTATATGAGTCTGAGCCGTTCCTTTCGTACCGGCTAACTTAATTCCTATTAATCCATTACTTTCTCCCTTCTCTAATCAATGAAAATGATTTAACCCGTTTTTCCATTTAGATATCAACTACATGCAACAATCAACCACGAACATGATCATTTCACAACGACCTTTCTAGCTTCATCGGATCGTCTGTTTCTGTGTAACGATCTCCAAGGGATGCAAATGATTGAAGAATTGCCTTTCTATGTCGAAACCGCTATCTATATCTTAAGAAAATAGTTATTAATTATCTTGTTCTCCTCATGATGTCCCAGATAGCAAGTGTTTGTCATTTTGATCTATTCATTATCCATAGTCGAGCCGACCACATTTTCTGTCTCGAGATAGGTGATAAAAAGCTCTGTCTGGCCGAATAAACTTCGCTATTATTGAGAAATTCAAGTTGCCCCAAATCTGTAGTCGAAGCGTACCGTTTCATAACTTGCCGAAGCACTGTAACTGAATGAGCTTCATGACAGCGTGCACCGAAAACCTTCAGTCAAGCAACACACACGCAGTACTCAGTCAAATGAACGGTCAACACATACTCATATTACCCAATAGGCAATTAAGCGGAATCGCCCATCCTGGATTTTGGGTGGAGGGTGAGAGCTAGAGCAATCGTAAGGGTACCATTCGATAGAGCTCGTCGAGTTCTACTTGAAACACCATTGAACGGCATAACAATAAATTCACACTCCTATTGGTAAGTAACCGAGTAATAGGAATCCGAGATGAATGGAGCGCAGATTCATCATCCTCGACTCAAAAGACCAATTCCTGGTCGCTTTCTCAAAACTCGATTTTCATTGATCAGTAACCGACCAATGGGATTTGAAGATATCGAGAAACCAATAGTGTCATTGAATTCCTGGACCTTGACTATCCTTCGGTCAACCCTTCTACGATTTCAAGGGTTGGACCCAAAGACCCACTCGAGACTGAGAAAATCGAGTAAGAATTTTGAGAAACCAATGGTGTCGTCCTCGAGCCCAATTACCCTGGGATCATACTTCAAGAACATTATCTAAAGAAACAAACAAACAGACACAAAGATAGACACACAGCTTTTTTTTCGCTAGATTCTCCTTACAGTCGAGGGAAAAATTTTTTCGTCAAAAAAGAGGAGGGTCGCCCGTCCACGAATACCTGATTCGACCTCACGAGTCGATAGAGCATGTTTTTTTACGCTAGTTCCCAAAAGTTCACGGCTGTCAAACGTTTCGTGTCTGACATATGATTATTGGAAGATCATTTTTTCCAGCCAAAATCCATTGTTAAACCACCATTGTATTTCGCCACAAGTTCTTCAAGATCTGCCAATATTTTATACCAAAAGGTGCAGAAAAGAGTGCTCTATTTTTCACAGACAAAAACCGTGAAAATGTGGTAACTAGCGTAGAAAAATATGCTCTGGCGACTGAAAAGATTGAATCGGATATTAAGAGAGGCGCGAGCCCCCCCCTTAAAGTGAACTTCAAAAACTCTAACTCAGATAGATGGTTCGTTCGAGCTTTCTAAGTGTATTATCCATATCTTCTTTGTGGTATCGAATAAGGCTGAGTTAACCACAAACAAAAGGTCATTCTTGATCAATACTTCTTCTTCATCTGGAAAATTTGAATATGGAGATATGTCCGAACCTTCCCAGTCGATATCGATTTGGAAAAGTACATTTCCTGCGTAGATTTCAGCTACATCTCTGTTTCGACTTGCAGACGTGAAAGCTGGAAATGATTGAATCTGCTTAGTGATGCATGCTTGTTGGAATTGATCTATCATATCATCCGATAATAAAGCACCACGGTAAACAGTTTTACAGCTGTTTCCGTTAGGTGGATAAAAGGAGGCAAGAAGATAAATAAATGGGCCAAAGGTAGAAATGGAATCATTAACTACAGTTTTACCATCGCCATTGTAGTCTGTAATTAAACGCATGAGTTCATTCATTTTTCTGTAAAGAAAAGAATCCATCGAATAGAGTCGCGCACATACAGGATACAGTTCCTCTGCGGTGCCTTCTTTCACATTAAATAATTGCTGTGCCATCCATTCTCCTTCTCGCTCTTTACTGGCTCTTTTACCTTCGGTAAGAAGTCCATGTGCTGCCGCTTCTATGAACTTTAGACGACAAAGTTCTTCGCCGAATTGATAGAATGATTTAAACTTTTCCTCAACTTTATCAACGTAGTCAAATGTTGAACCGTCGTCTGCAAATGCTTTGACTGAACTATTTGTTATGGGTGAAAATCGATTTTCGCGTACCTTCTTTTCATTTTCATCCCGTGTGATACGTTTAACAGGACGTTGCTCGACCTCATTTGTGTTTGAAATTTGTAACAAACGTTTGAAGTTTATATAAAAATCATCAAGAATGGCTTCGCTTTCATTTCGCTGATAAGCTTCTTCAATTATTTCGTTTTCCACATCGGCGTAAGCCGTCCATTCTCCCACAGATAAGTCCAAGGGAGCAATATTTGATTTCCATACCCATAATATGCTCTTCTTTCGCTGCTCTTGTAACACCACCGTGCAACAAGCCATATTTTTACTGCCCGATAAAGAAAAAAAAGAGGAGAACTGATGTTTTCTCTGACTCACATCGCATGGCGCAGTAAAAGAAATGAATGATGAAATGGAAAGGAAAAGAGTCCATTTCTATCAGACACGATGCATTTTGTCTCATTCACGCGTTATTCTCACTTTACTCGAGCGGAGAACGGGGAGAAAAATAAGAGAAAAACAAAGTAAGGTGGGGGGTGAGGGGCAGCGTGGGTATGAGGGGTGAGGGTGAGGACAGCTACCATGATCGATTTCGTTCCGGCTAAGGAACTTTTCAAATGGCAAAGGTGTTCATTTGTAATTGCAAAAATCACAAAAACTAGGATTCTGCAATGTACTCAAAAGGAATACAAAGAGTTCCGAATTTCAATGTACAGTAGAGTGAGGACAGCTACTATGATCGATTTCGTTCCGGCTAAAGAACTTTTCAAGCGGTTCCGCTTTGGCACGAGCGCAGCAGAGGTAGCATTTGTTTCATGACAGCAGCGTGATTTTAAGGTGGCAATGGTATTCATGACGTACTGATTAATCTGAAGGTCAGGTTTAACTGACATATAAAGTTTCTAGTCTAAGTTGAGAACGATTTCAGGGTGTGCTGAGTGTTTGAGCACAAGCAGAAGCCGTATTGCGGATGATGTCTTCGTCTTTTGCGTAGGGACTGTCAGTATGGATGAGGTGTTTGTGTTTCGATTGGTTTTGGGTCAGGTAATGATCGCTTGGTCTTTTTTGTGTTGTGACGTCGTATGATGGTCGTTTTCTATGCTTCTTGAAGGCAGACGCTGTTCCAGGCTGGAGTTGTGTATATGTTAGTCTTTGGCACTGGCGACTCGAAGCATTTCGACTCCGGTTTGTTTCATCTTTTCTGGATTTCAGTTCATCCCTATGTTCGGAAGCACTTCTATCTAAAAGGAAGATAAAGCGCGATAGGAGAACGTATTGGGAAAGAACGTGCTTAATGACAGTCGAACAAAGAAGTTAAAGTGACGAGGGAACAGGAAAGAGAAAGGAAAAAGTCATTTGATGTGCTTGATGTTAACTTAAAGAGTCATTGTACGTAAAAGACATCGGCTTCTAGATATAATTGCTCAATGAGTTTCTCGGATTTTTTCGAGAATCACTCCATTTTGTAGAGCAATTTTTTTTAGGTTTATAGCCAAATTTTCAGATCCAAATGCCCAGATTCGGCTTAGATACAGCAGTTGGACTGACACCACCAAGAGCCGATTGTTCCCTCGACTGAAGGGAGGGTGTATGCGAAAAAAGCTGATAATAGTAATATGAGTATGTGTTGACCGTTCATTTGACTCAGCACTGCGTGTGTATTGCCTGACTGAAGGTTTTCGGTGCACGCTGTCATGAAGCTCATTCAGTTACAGTGCTACGAGTGATGAATAGATCAATAATTCACGTGAAACTTATGAATAGTTTATTGAAGAACATAAAGGAACAACGCTGTATCGTTCAGCGTTTGGTGATCTACGAGCCCTATACGTATTACCAAAAGCAGCATTGACACATCGTATTTGTGTCTGTGCATATCACGAAAACGTCAATTTACTATTAAAACCATTAGTTAAATATGTTAAACGTAAAGTTGTTTTTTTTACGAGAATTTACTGCAGTAATGGTTTGTAATGCTAAGAATCAGAAATGTATGTTCAAAGCTTGTTCATTGTGCGATAACAATTTCCAAGGAAAAATCGAACAAAAGGTTACTGATGATGCAACAAAGACTAAATTCCATCAATGGATTAGCGAGAATAGTAGAGCGGCGAAGAAAGAATTTGGAGGTCAAGCTTTGGGTACCGTTCAATTATTAAAATTAAAATTAGATCGCTTTCTATTCCACGTTTACGTTAAGCGTGAACAATCGTCTTATTTTGAAAAAATGAAATTTGAACTAACGGATGAAAAGATTTTGACGCAGGTAGACTTCGCGGAAAATTATGCGCTTAAAGAACAAGACAAGACACAGTCAGGTCATTGATCGACCAAAACCATTTCAATATTTACAGCATATGTATGGGCAAAAAGTCATTAAAAAAAAATTTACATTACCATCGGATTATATTAGTCATAACAAGTTTGTTGTTTATACAGCCATCGTATTTATTCTCAATAGATAAAATCGAATTTACCAAATTTGTCATTAGTTAAATATGTTAAAGGTAAAGTTTGTTCATATTCAGAAGAATTTACTGCGGTAATGGTTTGTAATGATAGGAATCAGAAATGTATGTTCAAAGCTTGTTCATTGTGCGATAACAATTTTCAAGCAACAAGTTTATCAAATTTGTCAAATGGTCAAAATGTTGTCATTGATTATGTTCCACATGTACCGCCTTCAGCAGATGATGAATATCCAAGCCCTGATTTATCATTAGGAAAAACACTAGGTATTTATATAAATTTTTCTATAACATAAGTTGTTTTAAATTTGACAATTCTTTTTAAAAAATAAGATGTATCGATTTGAGTAACGTTCAGGGAACAGAAGCGAAGGCAGAAATGGCAGCTTAAAATAAAAAATTCAAAGCATTGTTAAAATGTGTGAAGCAAATTAAGCTTGTAAATAAATTTCAAATAAACATGAGACATCGTTAAGTATTCACTCATATTTTGCTTTAGGGTATGCGATTAGTCTGAGATGTAGCCAACTTTTCGCTCCTTCGCTCATCTTCACCAAGATGATATTTTAGTTCTTGGTTATAATAGGCAGAAATTTTCAATTCGTGTTTATTTTTCTGTTACAAGTCATTCTAATGTCTGTACTCTTTTTATGTACCATGGTTTGTTACCAAAATAAAAAGAAAGAAAGAAAGAAGAACAAATGCAGAATAACAAGAGGATTTGGTATGTTAGATGACACGCACAGAAATGAAAATACCTAATCAATTCTTTCACTTACAGATTTATGAAAATGCTGATCTAACACAGCTATTTACATCAGCAACGTCAGATATGCGGAAAATGATAAGAAAAGTATGCATAGAAAGCTATAGTGATCATGAAGTAAAACAAGAAAATATTGACAACAGTGGGGCCGTTGTTGGTGATGAAGAGTATGATCAAGATCCATCGGACAATCAAGAAGATCAACATAATTAAGTTGAACGATTACATTATACAAAAATATTCTACAAAAACGCTCTTTTCTACAAATTCATTTAATTCATCTTATTTTACTTCTCTAAGCTAAAAGAATTCTTGTCTCTCTGTTTGTGAACCTGTTAGTTTCTATCAGGGTTTACTTCCACATGTTGTTTCTCTCCTTTATTATGAAATATATGTACCTTATACGAAGATATAAATTTACACAAAGACGAGGGGATCAGAAGCTGAGACACGGACGTTCCATCGAACGCAACTGTTTGGTAGAACTTGTAGGAAATTGGCCAAAACATTGTAAGTATTATGTGATTGTTCAAGCGTGAAACACGAATAAAAAGGGCAAAAAAAACCGTATTCTTCATACATGTTACATGGCAATAAACCGTGTAAATTGCGGAAACGTTTCACGCGTGATTTTCAGCGTGATAGTCAACTAGGGTAAATTTGGGTTGTTTTTTCTGGGAATGCTCAACTAGAGTACTTCAGAGTTAGAATCTTCAAACTTCACATAGTCAGTATGGTATGATGTTTTGATTATAGAATGAGATACGGGTGATTCTTTCGAGAGCGTACCAGGCTTTACACCGACTTTATCCGGATTGTTCGAGAGTAACAGGACTAGTACAACTTGAGCTCCTGATGACGAATATCACGTTTAAAAGATTCTAAAACAACGG